TCTTCCCGAACTTCGAGGGCCAGTATCTCACAGGGTTAGCTACATTGACTCCTAGAGATCTTGTTACGGTACGAAAAGTGCAAAAACGCATAATCGCACCGGCCCGCCTGGTGGGTTCCAGCCTGGGTTTGAAAAACGACCGTTCGGGCAATATTTTCAATTTTTTAATGAACTGAAAATTTGCATATTTTCAAAAATTCGTTTGCAGCTCGAACCTTAACCGCAGTCGTATATGTAAGTGAACGTGCATTTTTTGACAAACGACAGCTCGAGCAGTACTTGCACTTTTTAGTGAACTGGAAATTTGCATTTTTTCAAAAAATTTGCATTTGTCATTTTTTCACAAAGCAAGGCATTTACCGAGAAAAACGACCGGACTTTATGCAAAAAACCGGTAATCATGCACTTGGATGTGCACCACCTTCATCCCAACTGTAACGCACCACCTTCATCCCGACTGACGCCTTCCCTCCTGCATGCCGGTAAGGATCAAAACACGGCCAATATTAGCCCAAGTGTTAGGCTACAGCGTAGGGATCATTCCTGCTAATAGAGATCTGCGAGTTTAGTGCAAAAACACATGATCGCACCAGAGAGCCTGGTGCGTTCCAGCCTGGGTTGCATCTTTTGTAAATGCAATAATATGCAAAAACGCATAAAAACACATGGGTCGAGAGGTTATCTAGATATTTGTATGAGTTCGCAGGCGAGTGAACTTTGTCATCCATTTCGCAACCGGAAAAGGTAGGAAACTAAAATTTTAGAGATCTTTTCCCCCACACCATGTGCCACCCTCCTTTTTTAGGATCTATGTTGAAATATTCTTGAGTCTTACGTTTGAATGCCTGGAAGAAATTGTTTATTTTTTTTTTTTCTAAGGAGAACCGATCTCGGAAACCAGCAAGGATGTTCTCTATGCATGTGTGAGGTAAAGATCCAAATTCAGTTATAACGTACACTTGCATGCAGTGTATAGACACGTGAAAGTTCGAAATTTGCATCGTGTCAACTGAAGAACTAGCTGGGAAAAGATAGCTGTAATTTTGCGAATATTTCTCTTCCAAGTGGGAGCTCGTACACCGAAATGGAGCTTCGAATTGCACTGCGCCATACTTTAGGACACGCCGAAGGTATTTTTAGCGAATTGGCGATTTTGAGTCCTGGACATGCTGTAAAGCTGATATTTTGCAGGGACGTTTTATATTCATGTATGGTTTAAAATCGGTGTGGGGCTAAATTCCCTATGCACGAACACGAAAAATGCTCAGTTTTTTTCTCAAAAATTGCAACTGAGCCTTTTTCTCTCTGCCTCAAAAATGAAGGCGTTTTGTTCGGATTTCGTATCTTCCTTTCGCCACATTCTGCTCATTGTCCGGTTTGCATTTTCATTGAACCGTCAAGTGGCAAAAAATTTTTCATTTCTCTTAACGGAGAGCTTACAATAATCATACGCACTGGAACATACGATTTCATGTGGCCTCTTAATGATGCCCTAGAACTAGCCAGCGTCCCTTTCCCTTGTATGCAAGAGAAAACCAAAATACAGCCACATGAGTGCACATGTTAACTGTAAAGAAACAGCTATTCATACTGTTAATGATCTGATTGTTTTAAGTTTAGCGCAAAAACGCACGACCGTACCGGGAACCCTAGTGCATGTTGCTATCTGGGTTAAAGGCTTGTATATCGCATATTTCCATATTGCAGCTGAATTGGACAGGCACGATGAGCATCCGGTGGAGGGTGATTCTGGATCGGAAAGTCTCCGTCAATCCGGCATCGCTTCACGTTTGGGTGCGCATCCTCGTGGTGTTATTCAGTTTCTTCCGTCCGCAAGGCAGACTCAATTTTTTCCAGTTCTTGATAATTATAATACGTACAACAAGGATAAAGCATCATCGGATAAGAAGGCTCTCTTCCGGCGAAAAACGTCCCTTCCGGAAACCTATATGACTTATGATCCGGTATGCTGCACGTTTTCATTTCAATCTAAAATGAACCTAAATTTTTCAAATATGAATATATGATCAATTTATCATTACCTGATGTTCTGAAGCCTTCCATACCAAATTAGCGTTATTTTTCACTTGCTGGTTTTTATTATGACCTACCTAAATTATTTAGAAAGCGCTACTGTGAGATAACTACTATGGACCCGCGCCTGCGTTTATGTATGTTTTTTTGTATTTCAAGATGGTCGGTGTCAGAGGATCAAAATTTTTACGTGTTTAATATTTATTCAATTTTGTGTGAGCTTTATACCCATTATCAATTAAAGCCAAAATACTACAGTTTTGTGGGAATAGCCTGGAACAAATTTAGACTAGTTTTGGACTCTTATGCTATTGTATCAAAAAAAGCACTTTTTGGTATGCGGAATATAATAAGGCTGCTGCATAGTTATCGAAACTCGAAACTCCTAAATGCCCGCCCTCTTCAGACAGATCCCTGTGAGGTACTTGAACAAACGTAAAAACGATCATTGTCTTTTTTTGGTGCGCGTCACTATTTTTTGTTTCAAAATCATTTCAGGTGTACAATTCCAATGATATTATTCATCCACAAGCAGTTAAGTGAGTTTCCTTCGTTTTCAAATATACATCTTTTAAGAAGCGTAGTATTTCACACAGCGATGAAAACTGTTTTTTATATATTTTATAAAAATCTGGACAGTGATAACTGGAATTCAGTCTTTACAGGGAAAGCATTTGAATGGTACTTGAGCCACTGAAACGCTTCATTACCATATATATTATCTTGCTTATATTAATTTTCTGTGAGTCGGTAAGATGTTTCATCGTGGTTTAGAAGTAGTAACAGTCCGGACGAGAAGGTAATGCTCAACACACGTACATACGCATCAATGACATCTAAAAGCTGAATCGTTGCATTACTAATCTCTTAAGAAGACAAAGCAAACATTAGGGCCGCCAGCAGGCTGAGTAGCGGGCAGTGTAGCGTTAATCAGCGAGCTGGAGAAGTTGCTAGCTGTTTAGTTTGTGAACCAGTCTATGAATTATAACTGATCCAAGCATTCAGATATGTTTAATAATTTTTCATCTTTGCTAAAGGCACTCTCAAAGTAGTGCCACCACGGATAACACTATTCCCTTTATGTCTATGCTGTTCAAAGAAAGATCAAAAATTTAAAAAATTTCAGGAAAAAAACTAAAAATAATTGGCCAACGCACGGGCTGTCCGTACGATGATGCGTTTTTTGCATAGTTCCCCGCAGTTTTTGTCGCTTCCGGCATCGGTTTTTTCGGCAGATTCTTCCAGCTAAACAAATTAAGGCTGGCCGCCAAAAACTGGCAGGAGACACCCCCTTAAAATTTCAGCTTTCTAGCTTTCCTGGCTCCCGGGTTAGCAACTTAGTGGAAAAAATTTTTCACAAGCCGACACGCGGGCACCACGCATACCTGATGTCTGGGTTTGAGCTCGCTGAGATTTACTTTCACGGGGGACGTCTTCCTAAAACTACAGTCTCTTACCTCTTCAGGTTCTCGGGTTATGAACTTACTCAAGAAAAACTTTGGTGAACCCGTGCGTAAGTACCACGCATGACCGAGGGCTGGGTTTGAGCTCATTGAGAATAATGTGGACGGGGAACATTCCCTTTAAATTTCAGATTTCTAGCATCTCAGATTCCCGAGTTATGAATTTACCCGGGAAAAATTTTGGCGGGCTCGTACGCGGGTACCACGCTTACCGGGGGGTTAGATTTAAGCTCATTAGTACCTACTTGGACGGGGAACATTTCCATAAAATTTCAGCTCTCTAACTTTTGAGGTTCGCGAGTTAGCAGCTTATTCGTAAAAGCTTTGGCGGGCTCTTTCGCGGGTACCACGCGGGTAAAACCGCCCATTTTGGGGAGGGGGGCCCGTATGTGCATTTAGATTAAGTCCTCAAAGTTTCAGCCCTGTAGCTTTTGTGGGTTTCGAGATGAAAAATCGGTAAAGACGCGCAGCGCACACACAGACACACAAACACACGCACAGACAACCTCTCGTCAGTATGCGTTTTTCGCACTGCATTGCTGCAAGAAACGCATAAAAATGCGTGTTCGGTCCATGATTTCTCCCTATAAACCAACGGATTTCATGGCCAGTCTGTACAGTGGTAATCGTCATGTCAGCTGTTTTTTAGTGCATATAAAGGATCACGATGGTCGCTCCAGAAAGACGCTATGGGTCGTATCTATTCACCAAAAGGTTCCGAAATGATAGAGTCGAAAAATTCGGCTGACTCATTGGCCGGTGTCAGTCGTTTCTCCAAACTGCTGAAGTCGTTGCGTTCTTCACGTCAAAATTCACCAGAATCACAAACTTCTACGACGTGGTACTTTTCAAAGTCTCATTCATTTATAATGCACATTTATTTGCACGGCCCCGTGAAAATTTTTGGCGGAAAAATGGATAACTCTAGAATCAGGGAAGCTGGAAGTCTGAAACTTTCAAGAAATGTTCCCAACTTATCTACAACATAAATTTATCAAATTCAGCCCCCCGTTGTGAGTGATTGCCACGTACAGCCCCGTGAGATTTTCTGGCTGGAATTTGGGAACTCGGGAACTGAGAAAGCTGGGAACCTGGTATTTCAAGGGAATGTTCCCTGTCCATGTATAGCATGGACAATTAACTTCCCGAAATTCGAGGACCAGTATGTCATAGATTTCTAGCTAGCGGAATTTCGAGTGATCTTACTACAGCACGAAACACTGCAAAAACGCATGGTCGCACGAGCCCGCCCAGTGCGCGTCACCAGTGATTTTTTTTTTTTTTTGCTATCTCTTATTCTTTGACTGCTTCTGTGCAAACATGATGCGACTCCACTCAACTGACATTTTTATGCGTTTTGCATAAATCAGAAAGATGCTAAATTGGGAGGACACTCAGCGAATGCATGTGTATGCATGTATGCAGTGGAACCAGAAAAGTCGCTTTGTCCATCGCTAGTATTTCCGAAAATGAATGAAATCCTGTAAGAGCAGTGTTAAACGGCTGTTTGTAGGAATCCGTTGGTGTACGCAGCGAGCACGAGTGATCTGAATAGCCCGCTAATGCAAGCTGATTTGCTACTGTGGAATAAACGATCACGCGCAAGTTTTCGGCGGCATAACGATGTCCGTAATATGGCTATTCGGGAACTATATGACACCGAGAAAACTTTCGTGGAAAACCTCGAATATCTTATACAGGTACTCCATTTGTAGAACCTCATCACAGTGTTAGACTCTCTTAAAATTTGAAAACAGTTTTAATTTAACTGAAATTTTATTTACAGAAATATATGCGGCCACTAAAGCAGCCATTGGAATGCACATTAATCGATCCAGTCCTTGCTGATAAAATCTTCTACAAAGTTCCTGAAATTCTCATCCATCATCAGGTCATCTGGATTTCTTGTTTGCTCATCATTAATGCGCCAGTGAAAACTCCTTTTAATGACGACTGAACAGTCTAATTGTCCAATATTGCG